TTTTTTTTTTTAAGGAATTATTTATATCGATGACTTGGACTGATAAAGTCTGTTAAAGCCTAATAATTACATAGTTTACGTAATTACGACAGTTCCTCTGTTAGGATATACAGTTAGCCTGTTCATTATGTACAAAACAGAGGTTTGTGGATGAAATAGACAGAGTATATATATATATATATATATATATATATATATATATACATATATATACATATATATACATATATAGCTGACTATTTTGACTTACAGCACATCTATAATTGTGTTCATTACAAAATTAGAACCCTACATAAGATCATATCAAATAAGAGAGTAAACAGGCTTCTCACGTATATGTCTGGCTTCATTGTGGGGAAGACTGCAGACCTGATGGACAGATTTGGTATTTTCTGCAGTTGACAGAGGAAAGTAACTGGACTATTGCACAGTGGTCCAAAGTCCTCTTTTCGGATTTAAGTTTGCATTTCATTGGAAAATCATGGTCCGAGACTCAGAAGGAAGAGTGAAGAGGCATAAGTGCATGCTGTTTTAGCTCTGTGAAGTTGATTCAATGAAGGATTTGGGCACCCGTTCCACCTGCTGGGGTTACCCCATTGTGATTTATCAGGTCCAGAGTCAGTAAAACCAAACAGCACTCTTCCCTATAGCTGGTAAGCTTTATTAGTATGCTGACTCCATTTGCCAGTTGGGCCTGGTACAAGCTCTAGACTGCTTGAACAATTACGGATGCCTGTGCTTGATTTGCCATGAAACTGGCCTGATTTACTCCCTGCTAAGAATACATCAATTCCTAAACTGAAAAACAAAAGGCATCTGAGCCAACATTGCAGGGGAGTCAGTGGCTGAATTACAACAACCTGGAATGTCTTTACCCCTTGGCAGAGGGAACAGAGTGATCACCTCATTGTCACACTGTACTGATGTAGAGACACATACACAGCCTGTACAAAGTGCAGGGTGATCTATCCTGCACAATGCATGGCCACATACTTTCAGAATATTTACCTTTAGATTGTAAAGATCATATTTCAATTAAGAAGTCTAAAGATATTCCAATAAAACAGAATAAATTATTTCTGGTTCTTTTTAATATAATGCAGGGCAAGGTAATCTATATAGCACAATTTTAAAATACTAATAATAAAAATATAAACATAAAATGATAAGATGATTATATAAAAGAAAATAAATAATGATAAAATGAATGATAAGAAAAGGAAAATAAAGTCAGACAGAAAACTTTAGCACAGTAAAAAGTCATTTTAAATCTAAAAATGTTATTAATCTACATTTATAGCAAGTCAGGGTTACAGCACTTTTTCCAGTTTATTCCAGATTAGCTGATTATGGTATGCAGAGCAGATTTGAACCCAAAGACCTGAGATATCTGGGTGGTTGGAACAAGTATTATTAATATTTTGGTGCAAAGTCATTCAGTAATTTACTAACTAAGTAATTTAAAATCTATTCTCTGAGATACAGGGAGCCAATGTAATGACTTTAAAACTCGGGTGATGTGCTCCACTTAGTTTTAGAGAGAACACCAACAGTAGGATTCTGATTAATGGCAGCTGTCTGATGAACTTTTTAGGAAGACTTATAAAGACACCATTGTAGTACTTAATTCTAAAGATAAAAGTACACATTTGTTTTTCAAGGTCCTGTTGAGGAATTAGTTTTTGAATCCTGTAAATATCAAGGTCATAGAAGGCTGGCTTTGATACTGTCTTTTTGTGCCTCTGAAGGTCTCAATCCATCTCTACACCCAGATTTCCAGTCTGATTGTTTTTTTTTTCTAGCTGTAATAATTAAAGATGTGCACCATTTTTTTAAACACTCTTCCTTTGTTTCATAATATATTACTTCAATTCTGTTTGCTTCAGCTGAAGAAAATTTTGGCAGATCCATGCATTGACTTCATCCATGTATTCTCCAGTGCTTAAATAGGTTGATAAGGTTGAATTTGGAGGGAAATACAACAAGAGAATTGTTATTTCCCTTCTTCTTCAACTTCTTCGGGTCATTATTATTATTATTATTATTATTATTATTATTATTATTATCTTATATTATATTACAAATATTATTATTATTATTAGTAGTAGTAGTAGTAGGAGTGGTGGAAGTAGTAGTAGTAGTACTAGTAGTAGTAAAAAAATTAAAACAAAACAACAATTAAAATGCCTCGTACACTGAAAAACAACGAACTTTTAGGTTATCTATTTGCGACTGGGTGACGGAAGAAGTGCGACAGTTTGTTCTCCTTAACGGCTGGTGATGACATGTCAACAACAGACATGGCAACCAGCGGCAATTACTGGGAAGGTATGTAATGTTACAGGCATAAAAATGAAAAACGGCTCTGGACTTGCTCTTTTTTTGTTATCCAAAGTAAACTCTTGTTACTCATATATATTGGCTCACATCACACGACGCGAATCAAGTTGACGCGTGTCCAAATGAGAGGGTTTAATTATTTCCAAAGCTAATGTGTTAGCATGTTGACTGTTGACGTCGAAGTTCAGAAGTTTTTATTATAAAGTGAAACGCCTCGTCTTTGTTCCTCACAGTTTTGGTATTGCTGTCGACCTGTGTTTAAATCTAAAAACGATGTGATAAATTAGAATAAGCAAATAAAAACGACTGCTTTTTTAAGCTTATAACCTAAAACAATACTGAATAGTTATATTATTCTGTTTTATTCACTTAAGGCTCCGAATTTAAACTCCATTTGCTCTTAGATAGTCATATTGAATATGCCTGTTTATTTTAAGTTTTGAATATTGTTGTCCTACGAACTGGAAAATAGTTTAAACGATCAAATATTTTGCAAAATGTAACTATTGGCTTTGCTGACAAGTACGTTGGAAAAATAGTTGATTTTCTATATAAATGAGTGCATTTGAGAGATTATTAATAGACGACTATAGAGCTGTGAAGATCAATATGTGGGCTGAAAATCAGGATCTTGAAATCTGAAGTTATAGGTTGATTAATTTACCTTCAATCCAGTTAAGCTTGAGCAATTGCTGCAGAGTCACATTCTTTATTTCATTGTTAAATATTTAGTTTCTTATCACAAATATCTGTTGTATCTGCTAATATATTCCCAGCATGTTTCTCAATTTCTTCACTCAGATTTACGTAAGCAGGCCAGGCAGCTGGAGAACGAGCTGGACCTCAAGCTGGTCTCCTTCAGCAAGCTCTGCACGAGTTACCGCAGCAACTACAGCAGCGGCCATGACCAGCAGGCAAGAGACAGCAGGTGCCAGCAAAGCTTTTCAATATTCATAATGAACATAACTAACATAGTTATAATGCAAACAAATGGATGATGAACCTTAAATAAAAGGTATTTTATTTACACTAAAGTACGTGGCCTCAAGATTTGAAACTGACAGTTCTTTTTTTTAAAAATGTACGTTACTTTTTTAATGACATTTTGCCTTTATTTTTGGTTGCAATGCAGAGGAAGCAGGGTTACAGGGGAACGCCGTTTTTTTTACATTGATTTTTGTGTCATTTGGAGCCGTTCTGAAGATATTCCGTTAGGTTATATCCAAGTAACGTCTTCCTATGGGCAACGAGTTGAAGGCACAAACTAAACTGTTCATAATTTATTTGTATGGTACACCAGCATTCATAACATGTAGGCGAATCACTGTCCCCCTGAAATCGGCAGTTATATTTTTATATTTATATCTTAAAAAACGAAGCGAAGTGTGTATCTTCAGAACAGCTCCAAATGACACAACACTCATATGGGAGAGGAGAACATGATGTAATACCGTCAAATCAAGGGCCCAATGTAAAAAAAAAAAACGGCGTTCCCCTTTAATAGTTATTAGAAAAAATAACCAAGTGAAATAGAAGAGATGTATAGATGTTGTCCCACAGTAGGGACAGAAACCGCATTAGAGCAGAAGAAAAACACAGATATGAAGAATATGCATACAGAGCACAGACACATGTGAGACATTATCAATTAAATTGCAATTGTTTTGAACATTGAATTATGGTTTTAGCATAATTTTGCCATTTTGAAAGCATTTGTTGGTAATGTTGGAAATGTTTAAAAAAGACCAGAACCCACCAATACCAAAGGCAATTAAGATATGTTGTGTGTCCCTAAGAAAAATGGTAAAATCACTGAATTGATAAAGTAAAAAAAAAAAAAAGGTTAGGGACGAGCAGTAAATGCTACCATCG